CCCCATCCACTTTGCTTCTCGTCGCTTTTCTTCCATTGAAAATGAATGGCCTCTGTTGTTTCATCATCCTACATCATGCCTAGTGGACATGGGCCATCAGAAAAGCAACTGACCAAACAGTGACTGGCAATACTTTGCTCAGGTCCAGGGACGGCCTGTTCAATAGGGCGATATGGGCGACGCACTGCCAAACGGGAAAAGGAAGGGATTTTTTTTCTAATCAATTATATCACGGCAACAGTAGTTATCAGTGTTGTAATCTATACGTCTGATCTGCCACAGTGCCACACTGCCACTAAATGTCGAATCAGGCTAAAGTCGTGCTTCAAATGGCTCCACCCCCTTTTGGGGCGATTTCAGTCAGATTGAAAATCGCCCAGAACTTCTGTCATAGACTCCCATGTAAAATCTATTTTTTTCAAATTTCAGAGCCTTCAATACAATCTCAATGGGTGTCTGTGGGCTTGCACTTACGCGCTTTCGTCATACGTTACGTAACCATGAACGTAACTGAGAAAAGAGTGGATTGTTTGAAAGAAGTTCCTTTTTGTCGGCGAACAAATGAAGATAAATTGGCAACGAAACAATTAGGACCTCCCAGACCAAATTTAATAATTCAACAGGTTTCTACTAAAGGCGGAAAGTCCTACACCCGAGGATTTTCCAAAAATTGGTACGAACGAAAAAAGACATTGCCACTCACTCAACTGAATGACGAGGGATACAGGCTAGCTGTCCGCCGCCACAACGATGAGGTTAGTGTTGATAATCACAAGTTTACTGGATGTGGATATGGTGTAATAAAGGCAGTTTATTCAGAGGTAAATATATCTGGAATCGCGTTCACGGACCCGTTCGTCAAACTCTTAGGGAGCTATAAATTAAGCCCCATTACTTACCATATCAGATAAGAGAAATTGCTGCAGCTACATATATTTTACATCCTGGCCCTACATAGTTCACTATTTGCATCACTTACCAAAATATTACATGTGGTCATATATGCTTGGAAAGTGGAGATGCCATAGAACGTCAAAAAAGTAAACATTGCTGGAGACACATTGCCGTTTTGGAGAAGACATCGCGTTTGCTAGCGAAGAGATTTGTTGTGGCAAATGAACTTGGCCTGGGAATTGCCAGGAACCTCACGATAAGATATATGCATCAGCATTGCGAGTCTCATGATTCTATACGTATTGCGATTCGATACTGTGATTTTATTGCGCACCATATGTCTGTTGCAGAGGGATCAGAAAGCCATGAGAACGAGTTTTGATCAGTCATGGAAATAAAAGTGCTGAAAACAAATTGGCTCCCAATGTGAAAAGATTGAGAACAAGCTATGAAGGAACAATAATGGTGTTTTGGTGCAGGTACAGCCAACTAGCGCTAAAATATTGCGATATTGTCAATACAGTATATCGTAAAGTATCACTATGTAACTCGATTTCTTTCACCCCAATCCCTCAAATTAACGGTAAATAACTGAATTGTTTGCCCCACATTTAGCTAAGATGATTAGCTAGCCAGCTAAAATGTTTTAGTTAGTTAGCAGTCGCATCTACAATAGTTTACTGTCAATAACATGTCTCCAAAAATGACGTGGTGTCTCCAATTGTGTTGACATTTTACAATTGCAATGCGCATCCATGAGTATCCACTTTCTGTAGCTCAGCTGGTAGAGCATGGTGCTTGTAACGCCAAGGTAGTGGGTTCGATCCCCGGGACCACCCATACACAAAAATGTATGCACGCATGACTGTAAGTCGCTTTGGATAAAAGCGTCTGCTAAATGGCATATTATTATTATTATTATTATTATTATCTGAAGAGAGCCCCGAAACATTGTGTGCAGACATTTTATGCAATAAATGAAGTAGGTTCAATCTAGTAGTTCTGATCTTCTGATTGGTCCTGATGAGTTGGGCGAGGTCCCCTGCAGGCTACTGTCACTGTTGCATTGGCTCTGAGTCGGGTTCTCTGTCTTCAAATGTTCAGCCTAAGAGAGGGGATTTTTGTGTGTGTGTGTGTGTGTTTAACAGTGATGATGTGTGTGTGTGTGTGTGTGTTTAACAGTGATGATGTGTGTGTGTGTGTGTTTGTGTGTGTGTGTGTCCTCAGAGCAAGAACTCGTGAGTTGGAAGAACTGAGAGGCCTATGGCGTGGGTGTTGTCCTTGGCCACCTGCTGACAAGGCTGACAAGATAGGACCCTTTTGTCCATTGTTATTGGATAGGAACAGAACTTATAACCAGCTCCTGACCTAAATAGATCTTAGCACAACATTTTACTCAACATATCATATTCCATATTCACTATAACAAATATATTTACTACGACATTAGCAAGAACCGCCACATCCTCAGCCGGCTAATCCAGTGTGTGAAGTTTTGCGGAGTGTTTGAGTTAGCTTTGCGAGGCAAAGATGAAACTGAGGGCTCCACCAACCCTGGTAAGCCAACACTTTTGAGATCAGTCAATAAATGCTTCTGGTATTGACTTATATGCTGCCCCTGTCTTCATGTTGTTGCTGGACATATCTTTTTTTAAATGTGTGTAGGTCACCTAAATCATCAGAAAAATTGCCCCTCCTGAGAATTTTTTCAGGAGCCGCCACTGCTCAGGTCAGAAGAGCTATAAGGACCTATGATGGTGCAATACAATCTAATATATTCTAATATCTAATAATAATAACATCTAAATACAGAGGCAAGACTAGAGGTCTCCATTCTATCTCTTTATCTTTGTTTTCTTTTGCCTCAGTGCATACGTCTACTGTTAATAGAGCGCTACTAGGCCTAGCCTATATGACCTTAACCACCTGGTTCCACAAGATGGCAGTATTCCCTCTATTGACATAAAAAATACCTGCACTCTCCTGACAGCACAAAAACAATATGCTTACCATTAATCAAATAGTGGGTCACTAACAAAAATGGAAACAACAGAGCAAATGCAAATGCATGCAATGCAAATAGTTGGCCTACCTAATTTCTATAGCCAATATATCTGGGCCTTGTGAATGACATGCAATGAGAGCAACACAACTTTCTAAAACAAGCATGTTTTGCAATAAAGCAAGACAGTAATAACCTCCTCAATTCCAATTACTGGAATTTTACATACAGATTGTGGCTTTAACTATCTGTGTGTGTGTGTGTGTGTGTGTGTGTGTGTGTGTGTGTGTGTGTGTTTGGTTTTACTATCCTTGTTGGGACCAACATTTTAAAACAAGGAAAATTGTGGGGACATTTCACCAGTCCCCCCATGGAAAAGGCTATTTTAGGGGTTAGGTTTAGGGTTACAATTAGGTTTAGAGGTTGAGGGTTAGGTGTTAGAGTTAGGGTTACAATTAGGGTTAGGGGTTAGGTTGAGGGTTATGTGTTAGAGTTAGGGTTAGGGTTAGGGTTAGGTTTAGGGGTTCGGGGTTAGGGAAAATTGGATTTGGAATGGGAATTAATTGTTTTGTCCCCACAAGGATAGTAAAACAAACATGTGTGTCGGTGTCGCTATGTGTGTGCTTGTGTGTGCACGTGCTTGCATGTTGTCACACTTTTCTTGACATTAAACAAAGTCCACATTGCAACAGGGTATAGAAAATATCAACAATATAAGAGATAAATTGCTTACTTATTTTTCATTTAGCAATGATTATAACATTGTTAGTAAGATGCTTTCAGAGCGAAATTACAAGTGCATTCATTTACGGAATGAATGATCAAATTTCACAATATTCCTTCATGATTCTTCATCCCCTCTCTTTCAAAATCCCCATTTACTCCTACCCCAGTCCACCACCTCATCCTCAAAACTGCACACAAGCAGGAAAACCAAAACAACAGACTAGTCTACCCGAACTAAAATCATTTTGTAGCCTAGATTATTTAGCCAAAAAGCCGTTATTTGTGCTTAATATTGATGTTTCATATCCGAGAAATGTGAGCCCAAAAGTAGGAATTTACAGACTCATTCAATTCCTATTGCCCTCTCCGGAATTTGGGGGTAGCCGCCTACTATGCTGCTGCCTGCTGACACAAAAAGGTGGACAATCGGGTCCTTTGTGAAGCCAACTCAGGGCTAACTGGTAGAGTAGAGCCCACCTGAAAAGTGTGCCACTGAAAGGCAGAGATGGTTAAACTACGGTGCTGGGTCTCCACAACTGAATACCTATCAGAGAGAATGTCTTACGGATGGTTATCCTTTTGTATTTATTTTTCTATTTCGGATTAACTATGCTTGAAACAAATTGGATTTCAATTGTGTAGTGGTATTTCTTTTGCCGATGGATGCGTAAACATCAATACGTACACTGTTGGCACGATAGATTTGGTTGCATACAGAGGTGTCGCGCACCGCTGCTGTCGCCAAGGGAGCGCCAATGTGGATAGTTATCACTGGGGGATATACGTGACAGAACTGAATGGAATATCTATTTCAATCAACCCTGTCGAAAGGAGATGAACAGCGTGGGAACTAAAGTCAAATGTCTTGGATATGCATCTTCAAACTGGATTTGGCCCTGAGTGGTTTTAAGTCAGAAAAAGGCTTAAACCATTTAGTCTATGTTGTAAAGGTAGAGTATTGAAGTATCCAGCTTCTGTGCTGTGTTTGTACTATTGAACGGTCTTTAACACTAACAATGGCCACCATGTGATTTTTACTTTAGCCTACTAATTGTTGACTTGGACATGGCTCCAATTTAAATGTTACGTGATTCTGAGAAGCATATAATCTTCAGGCAAACATTTCTGAGATTTTCTTTAATCTTCCTTTCAGTTAAAACAACTGTAACAGGTGCAAGCTGTGCCTCATTCAAGTCCATTGGGCAGTCAGGGAATAGTCAAGATCATGTCTGACAAACATAAGGTAGACCACTTAACATGCTTTATTTCAGCATCCAAAATAATTAAAAACATCTCAAATTTTTATACATATACAAAATAGGTACATATCCTCTTGTTTTAATCCCCCAACGGTGTGTCTGCTTCTCTCATAATTTGACGATATTTCAATTTTTTCTGTGTTCAATCTTTTCCAAAACCCTTCGCATAAAATAAGAAAACAAAACAAAACAAAAAAAACAATGGGGGGAGAGAGAGGGGTACTGCTAGAAGCAATTGGACAACAAAAGGGGGGATTTCAAAACGAAACAAACAACAACCAAAAAGTGTCAAAAGATGTTCAAAACAAACAGACAACAAATCCACCTGCTTATTCTACACTAGACAGGACCATGTGCATCCTAACTACAGTATACCTCTTGCTAAGCCTCTGTTGCAGAGGTTTTAGCCAACACTTGAAACACATCTGTTACGACTGACATCAAGATAATCTGCTAATTTAGCACCTAAGGTCCTGCAAGCAAGAATGACAACACAATAGCACAATTTCAAATCACCCTCCACTGACAGGACCTCATGAAGAATAGCACCTTTTGCAGCTGTTACTTTCAACCATACTTCTGCCGTGTAAAATCTAACCTGGGGTTCACTAACACTGGGTAACGTGGATTTCCTTTTTGAGGTAGCCATAAGATTAAAAAAGAAGTTGAACCCATGTCTCTAATGCTGCTTTCGTGTGACTTCAGAAGGAACAACTGCTTCTCTAGGTGGGTACAACAACAAGACACTTCACTGTCATTTTTAAGATTTATTTGACATCACCTGAAAGTTGTACAAAGCATTTGATTTTCTTTTTCATTGTCCTTCCTCAGTGGTAAAAAAAAGTCACCTGTATCTGGGATGTTTTTTCTGTCAAACTCCAGGGGGGATTTTACACTTTACAAGTATATATTATTTTCTTTTTGCCAGTGAAACCATTGAGTCTTCTAAAGTATCCTCGGTGTTGATGGTGGTGGTAATAGTGGTCGCAAAAAAGCTTGATGACACACAACCAACTGTCTTCAGAAGTGCAGTTTTAAGCAAGTGGACCATTTGAACGGCCAAATGAAACTCTAGGTTTTTTTAAATGCATAGAAAAGGGTTGAGAGGGGCTGATTGCTAGAAAAAAACATACACACACAAACAATTTCAAGTCCAGATTTCTTTTTTACAAGAAGCAGACTGGGCCAACTTCAATGCCAAATTCCTGATTGGGTGCACCAACGTCCATAGGAGCGATGTCAATAATAGGCAGACGGGATGTTTTCGTTGTCTTGTAGTCGATGACTGTCTTGCCCCATGCACCAGTGTGCGACTGTGATGAGAGAGAAGATGAAAAAGGCCCAATCAGAATCCATAGTTTCCATTTCCTAATCAATTGAAATCATTCTCTTCCTTCCCCCTTTACCCTTTCAAAAGATGGCTCCTGGAAAAAGCACTTTATACCAAGTTATGAGGAATAACATCACAGATACTATCATAAAGCCCCTCAAATGAAACCCTCATCTGTTTCCAACTAGTGACCCTTGTCCTATACCAACACCACAATCCCAAAAGCCCTTTCCAATTCCACCTTGACAAGACTACTGCTGCTCATACCCACAGTCTAACACCAACTACCTCTTCAAGAGGAGCGAAATTCTCTCTTGAACCATTCCTGAGAGGAAGGATTCTTTCTAGAACAGTTCCTGAGCGGACACAGACTAAGATACAGCAGAGAGTAGGTAACAGGAGGAAGGAGGACTCACCGTGCAGCCATCCTCGGTGACGCTGTATGTGAAGCGGCTGTTGCCCTCGGCTCTGATCTCGATCTCGTTGGAGCCCTGGAGCAGCAGAGACTTCTTGAGGTTGCCGGACTGCTGGTCCATGTAGGCGATGCTGTTCTTGCAGTGGTATGTGATGTTCTGGCTGGCCTCTGTGGCCATAAGGCGCAGGAAGGTCAGCTGGATGTTAACATCCTGAGCGTTGGAGCCTTCACTGCCATACTCAAACTGTAGGGGAGAGGAGAAAGAAATGGAGTTAGCATGGTTTGGAGTTAGCATCAAGGACACTTCATCTAAGAGAATGGTGCGATTATGGTCCTCTTTTCCCAACAGTTTGACGCTCCGAGGTTCTCACCTGGAAGCCATCGGTCATTGCCTCGCCGAACCAGATGTGCTTCTTCTCCTTGATGTTCTTGCTGGTGTACCAGTTCTTCTTGGGGATAATGGCCTCGGTGGGGTAGACGCAGGTCTCGCCGGTCTCCATGTTGCAGTAAACCTTGATGGCATCCTGGGTGCAGCCCTGGTCGGGGTCGATCCAGTACTCGCCTGCATGGAGAAGAGAGTGGATCACGTCAAGAACATCCAATGTGATTGTTGTTGTTTTGAGACTATACAGACAGCAGGACTCACAAGAAACTAAACAAGCTAGTGTATACTGAAGATGTCTTTACACACTATGCTAAAGCTTGTCAGAACCAATACAGCTCCATGCTTTCCTCAAAGCCAAGCAATTTCTTGACTAATGATGAGCAAGCAACCGTAGTCTAGAATGGGTCTATGACTCTTCGACTCACCGCTCTTCCAGTCGGGGTGGCACATCTTCAGGTCTCTGCAGGTGCGGGCGGGGTTCTTCTTGGTGCCCTCGGGAGAGCGGATGTTCTCAATCTGCTGGCTCAGGCTCTTGAGGGTGGTGTCTACCTCCAGGTCGCGGTCGCGCATCACGTTGGCGTCGTCGGCGCGGAAGTGACGGTAGGGATCGGGGGCCTTCTCCTGAGCGGGCTGAGCAATGAAGCCCATGTCGAATCCACCACCGGGAGGTCCGGGGGGGCCAGGGGGGCCGGGAGGGCCAGGGGGTCCCTATATGTGGAGGAAGCAAAGGCCAACCAAGATAGGATGTGAAGAAGAATAAGAGGAGTACAAGGAGCAAAAGATACCGATTTTGAAGTGGTTGAAGTGACTTACAGAGGGTCCCATCTCTCCAGAGCGACCACGGGGTCCGGGAGGTCCGATGGGGCCGGGCAGACCGCTCATACCATCCTTACCGGCGGCACCAGCAGATCCAGAAGGTCCCTAGTGTAGGCAGAGCCATAGCTTAATACGAAAGTGTAGACTATCCACATCATATTGTCATCAGAGAAGTGCTCCCCAGTCATAATGTTGCTGTGCTGATAGTTGTGTAACAGTTGTCATAATGTGGGTCATACTCACTCTAGGTCCAGCGGGGCCAGAGGCTCCAGCTGGTCCTGACTCTCCAGATGGTCCCTATGGGCAGAAACAACAGATTAAGGTGCCTGTTATATCAAACACCAATATTACAGGGAGAAGGTTGAAATATCTTCCTTGTGCCTTTGCAGGCATGTACGAATCTAGCTATTTATGGTGTACTGCATTTGGATAAAGGGTAGCAACCCATTTCCCTTGTTTATGCTGGGCCACTTGTGTTATTATTGTTGATTTGTAATCAGTTGGGGGTACTCACAGAGGGGCCAGGGGGTCCCTGCATGCCAGTGAATCCTCTGTGTCCCTTCATGCCTCTCTCTCCAGCCTCGCCAGCCTCTCCCTTGTCTCCACGAGCTCCAGCGGGTCCCTGGGTAGGAAAGCGACAGGCGTGTTCAGTATACCCTTTCCTCAGACTCCGAGTGGAAGAGCAGATATTGTATTCATAGTGATGGTTTTATGAATCTTTGATGGAGTATATACGTACAGATGGGCCACGGGGACCAGCAGGGCCAGCAATACCAGCGGGGCCAGCAGGACCCTGAAGAAGAGAGAAAGGGAAAGAGAGAGAAAGAGATATGACAATCAATTCAATTGATCATCCCAACTCGAAGGCATGTCATAAAGGCTATGTAGCTCAACTATTAGGAGCTCCAGTACATGCTATATTCTAACAGGACTACAAACAAAGACCTCAACCCCTTCTACAGCCTTAACTAGTTACTGTGCGATGGGCGGCCATTTTGAGGCTACAACAGTTGTCAACATACAGTACGGTCTCTGAACATTATGTCATGTCATCATGTCTGAATTGCCCCCAGTTATGTATTCCTCGTCAGTCTAAGGGAGTAATGGCGGGGGATCTGGACACTTACAGACTCTCCACGGTCACCAGACTTTCCAGCGGGGCCGACGGGTCCAGGGGCGCCAGGGGGTCCGGGGGCACCGGGAGCACCAGCAACACCAGACTCACCACGTTCTCCCTACAGGCAGGACAGAGAGGAACAGAGACGGGTCAAGAGAAGATCAAACTCCTGGACATGATCCCAATACATTAAACTATTGGATGCTCTTTCAGCCATGCAAGTAGTCGTGTAATGGTGCCCAGTGTAGTTTGTCTACAGTATACCAACAGGCTGGTTCCCAAAGTGAGGGGGTGAATCTGTCTTGAGGACAGTGTATGAGTATAGCTCTCACCTTGGGTCCAGCAGCACCATCGCGACCAGCAGATCCCTCGTTACCAGGAGTTCCCTCACGACCAGGCTCGCCAGGTGCTCCAGCCAGTCCAGGGGGTCCCATGGGTCCAGGGGGTCCACGCTCACCAGAGGGGCCACCAGGTCCCTGCTTGCCAGGCTCTCCCTAAAGCAGGAAACAAAGATCAGGGTTAGACCTCAACCATAACACTAGAGTACCACTACTGAAGTAGAGCAATGGTGTATGAACTGTATGCAGAAGCTACTGCAAGAGCGTTGCAGTCGGCTGCCATCTTGGCAGAGCTAGCACAGAGGGCCTTTAGCATCGTTGTGACAGGCCTGTAGACTATCTAATCACTGCCTTACTGAAAACTAGGGATATCCACCATGAACTGTGTCTCCTCTGCAAAAGCCTAACGCATTTAACATGAAGTTCTAGAACTAGCACTCTGCGGTACTGACCAGTTGTCCGGCGAGGCCGGGGAAACCACGCTCGCCTCTCTGTCCGGGCAGTCCAACAATACCACGCTGTCCAGCAATACCCTGAGGTCCGGGAGTTCCAGAGGGTCCCTGTAGGAGAGAAGGACAAAAAGAGAGAATAGGTCAGATTTAAACTCCATCAGCGTGTATTACAGGTGCACTCCAAAAGGAGTATTAGTATTGATCTGGCTTGTCAGCGTAGGGTGTTACTTTGTTAGGGTAACAGTGACAGCCAAAAAAGGGGTCCTTACATTGGGACCATCTCCACCAGGCTGTCCCTTCTCTCCCTGGGGACCAGGGGGTCCAGCAGCACCAAGCTCACCAGGGACGACCGGCGGGGCCAGTCTCACCACGGTTACCCTTCTGTCCTTCCTTTCCACCGGGGCCTGGGGGCCCGGGGGGTCCGTTGTTGCCCTGAAAGAAAGAGGAGAGGATGGTTGAGTATGAGATGAGGCTGAAGTTGACCGAATACACCTGTATCAACGGCTGTTATCGATGACAGTATTGTGATCATCTAAATGTTAAGCTAATGCCTAGCTAGATGCTTGTATGGGCATCAGGCAATGCAGTTATGTCTTGGGTTGGATGCACAATAATATGTTGTATTGATATTTGTGCTGTTGTGTTGTGGGATTGCTGTTTTAAGCTATTATTGAGCGGTTTGCTTGCTTAGTGTTCGCCTATGGTTAAAGTGGAACCTATGGCCAGAGCCAGGGTATTGCTATACTGATGGATGACGAGCATGGTTCAGTGTGAATGGTATGGTGGTAGAGAAAGAAGTACTTACAGATGGGCCGGGAGGTCCAACTCTGCCAGCAGCACCGGGGAAACCAGTGGCACCCTAAAGAGAGAAAGAGACACTGGTCAACCTAGTGTATCAGATTGGGAAGCATGATACTACTTTACAAATGCTATCGTTTACAGTCAGACAGATGAGAGATGTTGGAGGACAAGATACAAAGTTACTTACAGGGGGACCAGCAGCACCACGGGCGCCCTTAGGTCCGGTGTTTCCAGCAGGACCCTGTGTGGACACATCAGTGCTTCAGTCAGTAAACAAGAGCAATACAAACATCTGTAATACTGAGGGGAGACCAATATAACAACACTCCAGCTGAAGTCGCTGATAGTACCATTGTAGGGCTATGATGGTGTCATTCATTTGTGTAATGACTTTAATGCGTATCAATAAAGAACTATAGTGAGGGAAAAAAGTAAATCCAGAAAAACGCATGTCAAAAATGTTATAAATTGATTTGCATTTTAATGAGGGAAATAAGTATTTGACCCCTCTGCAAAACATGACTTAGTACTTGGTGGCAAAACCCTTGTTGGCAATCACAGAGGTCAGACGTTTCTTGTAGTTGGCCACCAGGTTTGCACACATCTCAGGAGGGATTCTGTCCCACTCCTCTTTGCAGATCTTCTCCAAGTCATTAAGGTTTCAAGGCTGACGTTTGGCAACTCGAACCTTCAGCTCCCTCCACAGATTTTCTATGGGATTAAGGTCTGGAGACTGGCTAGGCCACTCCAGGACCTTAATGTGCTTCTTCTTGAGCCACTCCATTGTTGCCTTGGCCGTGTGTTTTGGGTCATTCTCATGCTGGAATACCCATCCACGACCCATTTTCAATGCCCTGGCTGAGGGAAGGAGGTTCTCACCCAAGATTTGACGGTACATGGCCCCGTCCATCGTCCCTTTGATGCGGTGAAGTTGTCCTGTCTCCTTAGCAGAAACCCCCCCCCAAAGCATAATGTTTCCACCTCCATGTTTGACGGTGAGGATGGTGTTCTTGGGGTCATAGGCAGCATTCCTCCTCCTCCAAACACGGCGAGGTTGAGTTGATGCCAAAGAGCTCCATTTTGGTCTCATCTGACCACAACACTTCACCCAGTTCTCCTCTGAATGTTCATTGGCAAACTTCAGACGGGCATGTATATGTGCTTTCTTGAGCAGGGGGACCTTGCTGGCGCTGCAGGATTTCAGTCCTTCACGGCGTAATGTGTCACCAATTGTTTTCTTGGTGACTATGGTCCCAGCTGCCTTGAGATCATTGACAAGATCCTCCCGTGTAGTTCTGGGCTGATTCCTCACCGTTCTCATGATCATTGCAACTCCACGAGGTGAGATCTTGCATGGGGCCCAGGCCGAGGGATATTGACAGTTATTTTGTGTTTCTTCCATTTGTGAATAATCGCACCTACTGTTGTCACCTTCTCACCAAGCTAGATAATATGATATATGCCATTTAGCAGACGCTATTATCCAAAGCGACTTACAGTCATGCATGCATACATTTTACATACAGGCGGTGCCGGGAATCGAACCCACTATCCTGGCATTGCAACTGCCATGTTCTACCAATTAAACTACAGAGGACCATTTAAGATGGGTCAGGGTGGGTACCCAGTGGTCAGTCACACGTGTTATACCTGAGGTCCAGGGGCTCCAGTAGGTCCAGCAGGTCCTTGGGCACCACCGTCACCCTTGGCACCGTTATCTCCAGCCTCTCCCTTAGCACCAGGCTGACCATCAGCACCCTGAAGGAGAAGAGAGAAGAAGAAGTGATTGAGTGAATGTAGAATAGATTGGTGTGGAGGTTCATCTAGACTGGATGCTATGGTAAGATAAGCCTGTCTCATTTAATGTCAATGAAATCTATTTAGAATCGTCATAGTGTGCAAGATGTTACGAGTCATCATCTTGATTGACAACTGATGTCTGTTTGAATTGAGGACGATTTCTGTGTGAATTGAGAAGTGATTTCTGTGTGAATTGAGAAGTGATTTCTGTGTAAATTGAGAAGTGATTTCTGTGTGAAATGAGGACAGGTGAAGAGGTGTGTGTACTTACAGGAGGCCCAGCGAATCCAGCAGGTCCGGGGGCACCAGACTCACCACGCTCACCCTGGGAGAGGAGAGAGGAGAAGGTTAAGGGTTAGTCAGGTCAGGACTGTGTTACGGGTCAGGGACTAGCATCATATGAGTGTGGGTCAGTTCTTTCTTCTATATGCATTCATTTCTACTTAAGTTTCATTATTTATTGCTCTCTTTGGTGCTCAGTAGGTTCCGGAACCATTTGAGCTTTGCTTCATGCATTGTGGCAATGTGGTCTCTATTTGAAGCTTCAAGACTAACTCCCATAGAGAGATGCCTGTGGTATGGATGCATGGGGAACTATGTTTTTAGGTCTTTGTGCCATGTCTGTGGAGAGGTGGTAACAGGGTGGGACTGAGGTACTCACAGGGGCACCACGGGCACCAGTAGGTCCAACAGCTCCAGGAGCGCCAGTCTCTCCCTTGTCACCAGGAGCGCCAGCAGGGCCGTTGGGTCCGATGGGGCCAGTCATACCACGGATGCCATCCTTACCACCAGCACCATCAGCACCCTTGACTCCTTGGTCACCCTGTCAACACAAGAATAGCTGAATTAGTATAGTCGTGGGTTATACAGATACAGAGACGGATGAGTGCTTTTATGGACTCAGTCAAGTCCACTGTAGTGCCACAGAAGTATGAAGTCAAGGCCCACTGATGAACATGAATTTAGGCATGGAGGATGGGTGGCACCGGTACTCACTCTGTCTCCCTTCAGGCCTGGCAGACCACCAGCACCACGCTCTCCGGGCATTCCCTGCAGGCCAGGGGGTCCCTGGCCACCGGGGGCACCTGCGGCACCAGCCTCTCCCTTAGCACCATCGTTACCAGCAGAGCCAGGAGAGCCACGGGCACCAGCGGGTCCAGATGGGCCGGGGGCACCACGCTCACCGGGGAAACCTCTGTCACCCTGGGGTACGGAGCGGAGAGAGGAGAGGGGAGAGGGCATCAACTTTGGTTCCAGAGCATCACATCACATGTATATAAGATGAAGGATGTTATCGATGTCAATGCTAATGTCTTTAGCCTGGGTCGGCTGGGTGCTAGTCTGTTGCTGCTTTAGCTGTTAGCCGTTGTCTTGTTTGGCAACAGTGTAGCTGTAGCAGTCTATCACCCAGGAAGTGATGTCTTTATTGTTCTGGGATACTCACTCTGGCTCCAGCGGAACCAGGAGCACCACCTTCACCGGGCAGACCCTAGACAGGAGAGAGAGAGAGAGAGAGAAGATATTAGAGATTTGAGATTTGAGATCTGCATTTGTAATGCTCAATGTTCAGCTGTGTCAAGTCACAAATCTTGACAGGAAGTCAAGTGTCATGTAGTGATGAGTACCAAGGACAAGGAATGAGGCAGTGAGTGACAACACCAAAGGTGCTGTACTCCTGTAGTGTTCTTACCTGCTCTCCGGGCTTGCCAGTCTCGCCAATAGCACCTTGGGGTCCTGGAAGTCCCTGTTATACAAAGAGACAAGAGAGAGACAGGTGAGCCAATGGCCAGAGGACCTGAAGTAGGAGGAGGTCTGCGATTGGTCAGATACTGATTATTGCCCATAGCTCAGGGATGTACCTGGAATCCAGGGGGGCCAGCGGCTCCCTGCTCGCCTCGCTCTCCAGAAGGTCCCTATGAGGAGGAGAAGAAGTAGGAGGGTCGGTTAGGAAAATCAGTGTGACCGGCATAATGGTGGGTGGATGGGGGTTACCCCCATATAATGTAAGCAAAAACAAACTGAGTGGAAACATTTGGTTTGGTTTTGCAGTCTCCTAGGAGATTCCATGCTGGCTTGGATTAGTGATAGTGTGTTTGCTTGTGTGCAAGTGTGACGCAGTGCAGGTAATGCTGAAGAATGTTGTCCTTAAAGCTTTGGGGAGAATGGGAGTGAAGCATTGTGGGATGCTGGGGTGGAAGTGTACTTACGGCAACACCGGGGGCACCAGGAGCACCAACATCACCATCTTTGCCGGGAGCGCCAACAGCACCAACGGGTCCCATGACTCCTCTCTCACCAGGCTTGCCACCCTCACCCTACAGGAGAAGACAAATACCCATTAGCTCATTTCCCATCAAAGAGCAATACTGTATACTGAAACCTAGGTTTTAGGCTATGGACAACTATGTCATACATTGCAGTGAAGGCTGCTGAGGGGAGGACGGCTCATAGTAATGGCTGGAATGGCGTCAATGGAATGGTATCAACCACATCAACCATATGTTTGATACCATTCCATTGACTCCATTCCAGCCATTATTATGAGCCGTCCTCCCCTCAGCAGACTCCACTGATACATTGTGTTAACTCTCAATGTCATATTTAATTTCTCGAATCAGCCCATCAATTATTGTGCCCCAATAAGAGCAGCGAGAGACAGAAGGGTTACTCACAGCGCCTCCCTTAGGTCCGGGGAATCCCATGACTCCGGGCTGGCCTCTGGCTCCAACGGGGCCGGGGGGTCCAGGGCGACCATCTTGACCACCGGCACCCTGTCACAGGAGAGGGTAGAGAGAGAGAGTCAGTGACCACAGTGATATTGGGTGAAGTAGTCATAGGTCTACATCTTTTGTTGAATTGATGTTGTGAGGGTCAGGTGAATCTGTAGCTGAGGAAACTTACAGAGGGGCCAGTCTTGCCATCGGGACCAGGGCTGCCAGGGCTACCAGTCATACCCTAGAGATGGGGGGCAAAGGTGAGAGGGCAAAGGTCAGGCACATAACAACCGTAACATAAGCACATAACATAGGCAGCATACACATCTTGATATGCCATTTTAACATGAATCTATGGGTTTCATTCTTATAGTATCTATTAGTTGTTGAATAATTATCCAACAATGATAGTGTATAACAAAGGCCCAGTGATCTAAGACCGGCCACCTGTCTAACTCACCTTGGATCCAGGCATACCAGGCTCACCGTTGCGGCCAGGCTCACCTGTGTTACCCTTAGGTCCAGCAACTCCGGCGCCACCACGCTCACCAGGGCCACCCTATGATGGAGGGAGAGAGAGAGAGAGAGGGGTGGAGAGATGAGTTTGCTGTACTTAGCTAGTGACCATAGCATGTAGCAACGTTTGGAGGTGCACTGTAGTATATACATTTGAACAAGTGGGTGGGTGTTGCAGGTGTGGATGTGTGTGTGTTCCAGGTATGTGTTGTTTCAGGTGTGTGTGTGTGTGTGTGTGTGTGTGTGTGTGTAGTCACCTTGGGGCCAGCAGATCCATCAGCACCAGGGAAACCACGGCTACCAGGGGCACCCTGTAGGGGGCGACAAACACAACACAGGTCAATACCACAACACTGTCTGTCACTCAGTCAGTACCACAACATTACTGCTACCTCAGCGCCATAACACAACCATTCAGTAACATTACATTACTGCTCAGCGCTCACAGCTCTCTGGTGGCCAAATGAGGTGAAACATCAGGGAGAGGGCTACAGTTACATTTAGCAGACTGGGAACCAGAGAGGTTATTAGCTAGCTATTGGTTCCAATGAGCTTAGCATTCATAAGTCATAATGTGATTATTTATGTGTTGGAATAGTGACATAGATATCATCGTTGTGTGGGTGTGTGCCAATACTAGCTGTACTGTGCGGAAGTAAACGATGTATAAAAAGACAAATGTCCAAGTTCTTGTATAGCACTCTCCTACTGACCCAGTTCCTATAGTTGATTTAAAGCATTATATTGGATGGTTCAAACGCCATCATTTTGATGGGTATGGGGCAGTAATGCAATGGTGGTTCTTTGGAATAGTAGGACAAGTGGAGCAGAGTATTGTGGAACACAGTTTAGTGAGGCAGGGGGGAGGGTATTCTAAAAGTAGGAGATAGGAGGACATATGGGATAGGAGGACAGTGGAGGACAGTGAAACTGAGATATTGGTCAACAGATTATAACACAGGGCTAGTTCCTTTATTATAGCATACATTCCTCCTCTCTCTCTCCTAAGAGTAAGGGGAAGGAGGACAGTGAAAGGGAATGGGGGAACGCCTACATGTAAAGGACAGGAGAACATTATGATGAAGAGTGGACAGTGTGTGACTATCTGGGGTACTTACGCGCTCGCCGGGTGCTCCACGGGCACCAGCAGCACCGGGCTCACCACGGGCTCCTCTCTTGCCCTCCTCACCAGCAGAGCCGGGGGGTCCCTGGACTCCAGCGGGGCCCTGGGTAATGGAGAAACAAGATGAAGGTCAGAGAAATGGAGGGTGGCAAGGCATTGTGCTGAGATGTGGATCAGTACAGTGGTAGAGTTCAGACACATATGGACTGCTGACTGAGTATGTGAGTACATGATACAGTGTATGTGGTATGGGTGACTTGGTGGATCGTATTTGTCCAAAGACTAAGTCAAAAGGTGTACTTACAGACTCTCCCTTAGCACCAGCCTCTCCCTTGGCTCCAGTAGCACCAACCTCACCCTAGGATGAAGAAATAACAAACATCATTATCAGATCCCACACTCAATGGTCTGTGCATTCTGACCAAGTTATTGCAACAACATACGTTTCAAGATAACATAGATAATTGTATTTCTTTACTATATTTAGTGATGGAAGTCAGAGGGAGCTGGACTTACAGTGTTACCCTTGGGTCCGGGAGCTCCACCAGCACCCTGGGGTCCGGGGGGTCCACGCGGTCCGGGGAAACCAGGAGCGCCAGCAATACCAGCAGAACCCTAGAGGAGGCAGCAGAGTGACAACAATCATTATACTTCCTGGATTCATTATCACTGAGAGACAAATCAGTAACAACAATATTGGTTATTTCCAAAGTTGAACAAATACCAAGACAAACCAATGACAACTAAAATCACTAGTTCACTGAGGAGTGGGGTGAGGTGTATACTTACAGGGGCACCCTTGGTACCGGGGTTTCCATCAGCACCGTTGTTTCCCTACAAGAGATACAAACCAAAGGGTTAGAGGGGAAAGTCTCACAAGGATAGCAAATTTAACTTCAAGTCACCAACACAGTCCAGAGGTGTATTTCACTAGAGGTTTCTGAGGGTGAGACTCACAGCAGGGCCAGCAGCGCCAGCAGGTCCGGGGTTACCAGCCTCTCCACGGGCTCCCTGGGGTCCCTCGCCGCCACGAGCTCCCTGGGCACCAACCTCTCCCTGTTGGGGTGAAGATAGACATGGTCAGGGCAAGAACAGAAAGAACATGGAACTAGTATTGTACTAGTCCTACCCTACACAAGTACTACCCTTTAGTTGTACTGTACTAGCACTACACTACCCCATCCGTCCATTCCCTAAGTACTACCCTACACAAGTACTACTCTAGTAGTACTATTGCTACCAAGTTAAGTACAACTGTACCAGTACTGTACTACCCTACTCCCTAGTACTTCCATATGGTTGTACTGTACTATGCTGCCATTCAAAATTCATATCCACATCATGACCCCAAATAAATCAATGTGACCTCTGACCCCACAAGGACACATGGCATGGCACAATCACAATAGTGAAGCTGGATAGACTTTCAACTGGCAGCCAACTACACACGGTTTCATGCATTGTGCAAATGGATACCACTATCTTGGAAACACTGCAGTGTGTACACTATTATTACCATTGTTGTTTTGTTGTTTTCTTATGTGCTAGAATGGATGTACTGTATCTCATCTACCTCTCCAAATACTGCCCCCTGGGAAAGAGCTAGAGGGTGAGGGTAGAGGGTGGAGGATAGAATGTAAGAAGGTAGAAGGTATACAGGTGTGTGAACACGGATAGGTGCAAGTTGACATCTTACCTTGGCTCCGGGGCCACCGGGGAAACCGGGGGCACCAGCGGGACCAGTGGGGCCCTAGAATACAAGAAAACAAGAGAGAGAGGATTGAGTTACAGTCTAAATGATGAATACCGAATAAGTGTGCTTGTGTACCAATATGTTTCTGTTGATGGTTGTGTACTGTGTGAATAGACAGCTGGCGTTAGTACTTACAGGAGGACCAGCAGCACCCGCAGCACCATCGTTACCACGAGCACCCTGCAGGAGAGAAAGATGCAGAGAGAGAGGCACAACAGGGTCAGAATCAACTAGCAACAACATGACACTGTAAAACCAAATAACTGACATCCTGAATTGTTAGAACATATAAAATATGGCTTCCTACTGAGACCAGTATACAAGACTCATGTTCAACAATATTCAGGTAAATCAGGTTGAGGCATTTCGTAGATTGAGAGTAAGAATGGTTAGGTTTCCAACAAGCTAGTCCTGGACTGATCAGTAAACATCTGAAATATACAAAATGCTTGGGAAATGTGATGACCCTTGAGCTACAGGAATAGGGTCAATATGTCTATGTTGTAATGGTGCTATTGCACCCCTTGTTTATGGTCACAGGCAGTGGTGTAAAGTACGTAAGTAAAAATACTTTAAAGGAATACTATTACGGTATCTTGAAAGTTTATTTAATTAATTTTTTTTACCAATTGGTAGTTACAGGCTTGTCCCATCGCTGCAACTCCTGTAAGGACTCGGGAGAGGCGAAGGTCGAGAGCCGTGTGTCCTCCGAAACACGACCCCGCCAAGCCGCACTGCTTCTTGACACAATGCTTGCTTAACACGGAAGCCAATGTGTCGGAAGAAACACTGTAGCGTGCATTGCGCCCGGCCCGCCATAGGAGTCGCTAGAGCGCGATGGAACAAGGACATCCCGGCCGGCCAAACCCTCCCCTAACCCGGACGACGATGGGCCAATTGTGCGCCACCTCATGGGTGTCCCGGTCGCGGCCGGCTGTAACAAAGCCTGGGATCTAACCAGGATCTGTAGTGACGCAGCTAGCACTGCGATGCAGTGCCTTAGACCGCTGCGCCACTCGGGAGGCCCAGGTATCTTGACTTTTACTCAAGTATGACAATTGGGTACTTTTTCCACCACTGGTTACAGGGGGTGGTTTTGGGGTTGACTTACAGCAGCTCCGTTGGGACCAGCACGGCCTCTCTCACCAGGCAGACCACGGGGTCCCTAAAAGAGAGGGAGAGAAATTGGCACGGTAAGTAATCATGGCTGCCATTCACATTGCTACTGTATTGCAGAATGCTAAAAATGACTGTGATCTTCTCTCTACACTCATATTCTTGTGTAGGTCTGCTGACAAAATGGAAGGTGGGACTCACCATGGCTCCAGGGGCTCCGTTCTCACCAGATGCACCACCCTCTCCCTGAGGAAGGACAAACAGACACACAGACAGACAGGTCAGTGAATGGGGGATGAGAGAGGGGAAAGGGGAAAGGGGGGATGTGTGTGATTTCAACATCAGTAGGAGAGATGGAGGAGAGGGGGTCTCACCTTGGGTCCAGCAGGGCCAGACTCTCCCTTTGCTCCATCAAGACCGCTGAATCCCTAGAGAAGGAAGTAGAGAGTGATAGAGAGGAGAGAGAGAGAGAGGGAGAGAGTGAGGACAAGGTTAGAGGACAGGAAAACAGGGCGGATTCTATTGCTGCTATTTGTGAAGTATAGGCTGATGTTGCCACCAGACACTGGTCCAAGATCAGTTTCACGAGCATCCCCTTCATGGTTAAGGTTAGGCATGGGGACGTTTAGCTGATCCTGGATCTGTTCTGGAGAGCAACTTCTACCAGGACAGTTTGGGGGTGCGATGACTCACTCTGTGTCCCTTGATGCCGGGAAGGCCGGGGGTTCCGGGGAATCCACGAGCTCCCTGGAGAGAGAGAAAGAGAGAGAGAGAGAAAAAGAGAGCGAGACATGTTATCAGTGCAGTTGATGTCTTAACATCCCTTGAAGTATTTGAGATGTCTCATGGTGTCTGACTATTAGGTGCTATTGCTCGACACTAATGTTCTAGAGTGAGTGTATGGATGGAGAATGACATTGCGACTCACCTGTGGGCCGGAAGCTCCACGCTCACCGTTGCGACCAGGCTTGCCAGACTCACCCTGAATGGGAGGAGAGGAGGGTCGGAAGGAAGGAGAGAGGGATGGAGAGGAGGAGACAAGGTGAGGAATAAATGATGATCCAAATCCTTCCGCTTTATGAATATCTTACCCAGAAATTGTCCTGGGACATAGATGGTAAATGGTCGATTTTAATGATGGATATCTTGGTGACTTACATCATCTCCGTTCTTCCCAGGGGGACCAGCAGGACCACGGGGGCCCATGGGACCCTGTAAGAGATAACCCACTGGGTGAGAAGGGTGTGTGTGTGTGTGTGTGTGTGTGTGTGTGTGTGTGTGTGAGAGAGTTATCTTGATGTGAGAAATGTCATTACAATTTGTCAGTGATGGAAATAATCTAGGATCATTTGACATTAATCTAGAAATCATAATTAATGGGTAGGTCATTCTAAACATTATTGGAAGATGGTGATGGGTGTGTGTGTCTGTGTTGTGTGTGTATGTGGGGGGGGGGGGGGGGGGGGGACCCTGTGACTTAGTTGGCTCCATTCCAAGCATCAGGATAGGGAAAGACCTATGCAGCAGGTAATGGGTGGCTCAGTAGTCTGGAGGTTGTTTGGAAGTTGTTTTTTAAGTGAAGCTATTGTATGTTGAGCTATTTTTCTTCTTTTGGCATTGTATTGCCCTGCAGAATATGATGTAGAATTTAGCTCAAAGTGTGTGTTTATGAGGGATTGAGATACTGAAGTGATATTGAGATGATGGTGTATCATTTTCTGGAAGATTCCGGAACGAGATACTCACAGAAGCACCAGCCTCACCAGGCTCACCAGGGGGGCCAGTGAAACCCTGAGGTCCCTATAGGGGGAGACAAAGAGACAATGTCAGACTATGATGTTCATCCATCCAAAAAACAACATTGTTTAGTTCTGTTGACAATGGGCTATGAGCTCATGGGACAATGAGTCCTGTGGGTCAAACATTCCCACGGTCATTATAGTTATCGAAGACTGAAACTGAATGTAAAAAAAAAAAAGGAACAAAAAAGCAATAAAAATAGTCAACTAAAAGTAAAGCCAATGACAACTAAAACTGAAATAAAATGACAAGAACTAAACAGACACTAAATAGAAATGGTCAGGAACCTATAAATTAAACTAAGTTTACATTCAGCCATATATGCTTAAAAAAAACAACGAAACAACTCGAGAGCGACTTCAACTCCCATCATGCAATTCACCTAGGGTCATAAACTGACCTCTTTTTGACCTTTGACCCCAGTTCTCTTCCCTTACATGACAAATATCACTTAAACAGCTAGAACACAAAGGGAAGGGATACTTACACTTGAGCCAGGAGGTCCAGGGGGACCACGGGGACCCATGGGGCCCTGTCAATCAAAAGGAAAAGAAACGATCAGTCAGTTATCGACCAATCACATCAGTCTTCCCATTAGAATATATATTTGAGAAGGAGCCAACTGACCAAAGGATCAACCAAAGGTTGGGTGGGCGAGGGTTAAAGTCCTTCCAAAGTATACATTCTATTGCCCGACAGTCACATCATGAAGAGTAATATTAGAATACTGGTATCAGTAACTTTTCAAGGCATCTACACAGTGGTAACAAGGGGTTTGATGCTATTTTTGAAGTGACAAAGTAGGAAGAGTCAAAGTTTATGCAGATATCGCAAACATGTAATGTATGGTGTTAGTTATTTTACTCATATTGTTACATAATGTGGATATGGAAGTACATAAGACATGAAAATATCATATTTGTTTTATGGGATAGTATTTGCTGTGACCTATGGAGAACCACAGAGGTCAATTTGTAGAACTTCTGCTGAGCAAAAGTCTCTCATGGCCATAGTTTTTGGTTGTTCCTAAACATAAAACAGATTCCACAAGTGAGTGATACTACTTGGCCAACAGGCTCTTTGTAGTTGTATGTCCATACCATGGGGCCGGGCATGGACATGCCACCACCGCTCTTCTCATCAAAACCACCAGACATCTGAGGGGAGAAGTTCTGTAGGGGAGACACAAGGGAGAGATGTGTTACAGTCAGTCAGTATTGGGAATCATGAGAACAGTGCTGTGATCTCGACATACAGTATATGGATGGGCCTAACACGGCTAGAGAATGCAAGGCACTAGGCCTGTCCATATCAATGACAGATCTGTTCATATCCATTTCATATCTACAGGGTGACTACCTCTCTGGCGTTCCCTAGCTGTGTTAGGCATTCTCTCCCTGTCCACTCCTGGCTGGGCGCTGTCCACCTGACCTGGTGCTGAAATACAGACTGCACTGCACTCTAACCAGGATAGCTTAGCATTACACCTGCCGTGCTCTTGTCTCTACTCTTTTTGGAGGTGTATCATTATGATTTGGAGATTTCCATTCTGAATAAAATAGCACAATAGTTCCTGTTGTATTTACTGCGCTAACACTCTATTTGGAGCCTGTCCAGCCTATATTGAGATCAGTGATTTGTGACATCATAAGAGGGTGTTGCTGTGTTCTCCACCCAGCTGTCAGAATTAGCCACTTTCTCCCATTTCTTTAAAACAGAAGCTGCCCCTAATCTCTGATCTAGGATCAGTTCCTCTGTCTAACGCATAACCTTTTAATCTTTCGACCTGGGTCAAAGCAGACTCCGGGTCAGTGCTAAGTAGGTTAAACGTCCATCTTGGCCTGAGATACTTACTCCGCCGAGGCCAGGGGGTCCAGGGGGTCCTGGTGGTCCAGGAAGGCCGGGCTGGCCGGGAATACCATCGTTGCCGGGGAAACCAGGAGCTCCCTGCAGGAGAGACAAGAGAAGAGAAGCTGGTTAGTCATGAACTATCACAGAGACATAGTAGTAGTCATTGAATATAGAAAGGGCTTCATTATTATCTATGGGGGATAAGGCATCAGTGAAGAGTGACAAGGGAAAAGCTAACATAGGCCTAGGGTTTGGGGTGAACTCAAGGCATATAGGCCCCTAGTATATTAGAAGCATATTGATGGGTCATATCTGTAATAACTTCAGATTACTTGTACATTAGGCCATCTATCCATCTGTCCTTCCATACATCCATCTATCTATATGTTAATCTAACTGTATAAGTATCTACCAGTCTGTCAGTCTGTCCATCCATCCATTCATCTGATCGGAAATAAAATGCCACGGATAGTCTCAGTTATAAGACAATCCCAAGTGACTTAAGTCATAAAGATTGTAACACTACACTATACCCACTTCAAGTATTTGGTTAGGGCCAACCAGTCACTGTCCCAGATATTGTGATTGTGAGAACCACATTATTCTTCTAATTAATTTGAAATGGAGTAGAATTCTTCAAGTTAAGAAATTGTATTTCTATTCCAATAAATGCACAATATATCTGCATATGCTGGCCCAATACAAATCCACACATATCTCAAAATACTAGTCAGCAAATGGGTATCTAGACAGGTTGGGCTTTGGCTGAAGTATAACATCTATACCAATTGAAAAATATGAATTGAGATTTAAATAATGAAGATAGTGGTCGACTATTTAGCCATTTAGCTCCAATAGTAAACTCCAAAGACTCTGGATGTACATGTCTATCCATTGCCTTCGATAATAATCTAACCTCATGTCAGACATTACCAACATAAAAGAAGAATCTACTAATAGCTAATATAGGCCAAAACTCTGCTATGAGTATTATGAGCTAATACAACAGTCATTATGAGTGATGTGCAAGATACTAGGCCTGTCCTTTAAAACTGAGACAAGAGGCACACAAGTACAAAAAGACACCAGAACATAAGGGCCAAATCCTAACTTGGGATATAGGTGCAAACCTTTAACGTCCACACACCTCTGTCAATGGAGGATTAGTGAAAAACTGTGACTTGAAGTTTTGCATGTATCTCATGTTTGTTAGGTTTTGGCCCCCAGAAAGTGAATACAAAGCATGATAGAAATAAGGACGTGAAACGTACTGGCTCTCCCTTGGCTCCACGATCACCCTGGGGTCCCTATTGGAAGGGGAAATAGTAGCATTAGGTCATGGTTGTAAATGAGGATGTGGTTCTTATTGTCCTATGGCCTTACTAGATGTGCAGTGTAAGATCAAATAGATTTGTTTCAATTATGTGTTTATAATGAATCAACAATCAAAAATACATGTGAAGTACACTTTAAACATTAACAGTAATACAACATATAATTATATTAGCCTTATCTGATAGTTAATAACAATAAGGATCATAATATCATATTTACCTCAACCTTTGGCTCCTGGAAGCCTATGGTAGTAACAGAAAAACAACAATTAGATTAAAATGTGAACTAGCTGAAATAGTCTGAACAGTAAACAAATTAAATATTTGTAGTGTGCATTCAAATTGTACATTAGGCCTATGTTATTAGATTTAGAACTAATAGGGGCCTACAATGTCTGAACTAGGCCTAATGAAAATGTACACAAATGCCCAAATTTGAGACTAGGTCAAAGTTGAAAGGAAGGCCAAAGGTAGTTATGAGGTGGCAGTGCTACCAGACTGGACATGCGCATAATATGTGCCTGAAGCACTGAATAGTATCCCATCCCATTTCGGAGGAAAATGGGGAAAAATGACTGGTGTGATTGGAATAAAGGTAAATCCAAGTTTATTCCTCGTTGGCCATCCATAAAATGCTGTCCAACCCCTTAAAAGTAAAAGCCGAACAGTCCCCTCAAAAAACTTTTCAAAACTGATTCTGGGAGCGCCTGCGCCTCTAAAGTAAACTCCGTGAGCGCATGAGCGTTGCGTCGGGAGGAAATCGGCGTACCGTCGTCGGGGCAGATGGGGCAGCATTCGTCGTGGGGGATCACTGGATTGGGGCAGTCGGATGTGTCCTCGCAGATAACTTCGTCGCACATGACGGTGCCGCTGTCGCACACGCAGATCTGGCATGGCTCGGGTTTCCAGACATCTCTGTCGTTGTAGAATTGACCGTCCAACGTACAGCTGCCGGCGGTGCCTGAGAAAGATGCAGAGAGGAAATAGTTTAGAACACTCGCCTTCAATGTTGACCTAGAAAGGCACGGATGCCCATGTGATGACGCATTGACCAGGTGATGCATACGAAAATGTATGCACTCACCAAGTCGCTCTGGATAAATCAGCGTTTCCCAACTCCAGTCCTCGAGTATGCCCATAGTACACATTTTTGTTGTAGCCCCAGACAAGCTCAACTGATTCAACTTGTCAACAAATCATTAAGCACTCAACGAGTTGAATCAGGTGAGTTTGTCCGGGGCAACAACAGAAATGTGTGCTGTTGGAGGTACACAAGGACTGGAGTTAAGAAACACTATGCTAAATGACAAATGTATTTGTAATGCATAAAGCCTCGATTGGAATGAACAACAGGACAGAAGGCCTGGAAAATTACTAAAGTAAGGCCTATTTCCTACATTTATGTTGACAAATATCTTTGAAATGTAAAATGAGTTACCCAGATAACTTGCCTAAATATTCTGAAATAACACATTTTTTGTAAAGATAAACTTGAAATGGGCATGGTCTAATTGACTCAAGAACCAAAAACACATATTTAAGTTTAATTTTCTTAATGAACCAGAAAATCAATAGGTATTTCTGATTATTTTATTAAAGTTAGCTGGCAAACTCATTGATTCTGCTTTGTAGTATACTCATCAGGCCTCATCAGGCTTGACTACCTCAGAAAATCTGTCTTGAGTTTGTTTATTTATTGTTGGATATACAACCAGACGAATGAATATCCAACCAGACATTGCATTTCCAAAGTAGGCCCAGCTAGCGCTAGAAATAGTTCTAAATAGAGTATATTTTATTGTATTGGTGGCTAATTTGTGGTCTTTGTTTAAGCCGAGAGCCGGACTACCTGTGTCCAAACCAACAATGTTGGTCTACAGGAGTTACTACGATTTGACTGTAGAGGGCGAAACAGTCTAAAAATGTCCCACAATAGGCCTATAAAATTCCCTGACTGAGTCAGTGGAAAAGGTCCACGTCGTCTATGCTGTCCTCCAAACGCTGCTGAAATAATTGAAAACTGTCGGGTTGGCAAGCGCCAGCGTTTTTCCCTCAGTGGAAAGTTTCCGAACTCTGAATGTGTTATCAATTATCATAAAAAAATTAAAGGGGAGGGTAGGGGGCTCATCGAAAGCGTTTAAATGTTGGTGGAGTTGCATGTCAAAACCACATGGTGGCGCTACAGGGCCGTAGAGCGAATTTGCACATCTGTCCGCCCCAGATGCAACTAGAAACCCTATACTCAACCAGTCTAGACAATTTGACATCATACATCAAATAACTTAAAACTGCTTATGTAGTTTGTCTATAAGTAATGCATTTAGGTTATTATCCTTTATCTCTATTAGAATACACTTTTTGTAAGTAGCTACCTAGGCCAAATAACTGAGCTTGAAACTATTATAGGGAATTTGCGCATGATGATGCTTTGTCCTCTCCTTCAACGTTTAGGTCACTGTATTCTTTCTACAAACGTTTTTAAAAAACATATTTGAAAAGATGTAGCCTACCTGTGATAAATGACTATATGCTAGGCTATATGCCATTTAGAAAAACTCTAGGTTCAAAATTTCCATCGTTCAGGAATGACCCTGTTCCTTTTCCACTTGGCTGACATTTAGCCTAAGGCTACGAATTATTGTTCAATAACCAACTGAATACATTTATCCTTTATTTACAGACTGTTGAGCCATATAGGCCTATTCAATTCCACTCAATCCAATGGGCAGATAGTTGGCATGCCTTGTAGCCTTCCCCTCTATCTCGTACATGCGTTCTAATATTTCCAGCTGTTAAAATGTACCTCCAGGGCATCAAATAACGAGTGGAAGGGAAAGCCTTGGAACCTGTACCAACTCGTTCCAAAGGCACGCGTGAGAAGGCCCACAAGCAATGATGCGCATACACTATGCTCAAGCTGCAAGAGGTAGGCTATCCTTATGAATCCCACAAAAAAACAGGTAACCAGTCAACAATCAATAAACATTTACCACAGATAAAGAATAGAAATGTATCCTAATATGCATATGTATCTGAATGGCTCAGTCGTCACCAAACCTTTTTCCTATGAAAATCACTTTTCTCCTTCAACCCACCGTCTTTCCATATCAATTTCGTTAAGACAATAGAGGCAAGGATAGACTGAAAAGTGACACTTACGATCGTCCTCGCCTTGTCCTCTTGCCAAAAGCACTGTTGCGCTGAGCAACAGCGCTAACCGAATATCCACAAAGCTGAACATGTCTAAATATTAGACATGTAGACTCTTTGAGGCGAGGGGGAAGTTATTTTTTCCGTTAGACTCCAATCATACAAGTAGGGTCCGGTCCTCTGTATTTCCAATCCAGACCCCGCAGAAAACTCCCTACTGCCTACAGAAACTTTTTGCCCTGCCTTTTATATTCCAAACTTTTGGGGAGGTGCTGGCCACACCAGAAAGCTCCAGCATGCTCATGTTCATGAAAAAAAAGTCCCTCCTTCCATCATTGCAAAGGGGGTGTCATAGGCACTTTTTCACCTTAAAGTTCACCTCTAGAAAAGGTGGAGGTTTAGTAAAAAACCATCCCCTATCATGGCTTAGACAGACGACAGGACATGACATCTCCAAAAGTCGATTGGCGAGGAGGGCCTGGATAGCTAGCTCACTGTCTGTAGATTCTTCAGGGTTGCAATTAAATAGAAACGAGTTGTGCACAGGAAAGGGACTTCAATTAAGTTGCTTATCTCGCTTGTGTGTTTCCAGGCAGATGTTATTTATTGTCAATATTGAATGCTTTGCAGTTGTTGCACAGTCTTACTTTTATGAGTAAAAGGTGCCACATCAACTTGGGCACTAAATTGGGCATGCACTGTTCCCTCAGGAGCTGCGGTTTCGTTGCCATTTATTGTTCTGTGGGGATGGATTGGCTGTTGCTTAGCAGGCTTATACATCTCTGTGTCTAGGCCTAGGATATTTCTGATCGAAATGTATCTATCGGAAACGTTTGCCTACATTTTTGTTTAAGGTGAAATTGCTCATCGAATGAATCCAGATGTGGGGCACTATCGAAAATATTCCTAAGATTATTTTCGTTTTTGTAGTAAATGTGTTTTGAAGTTCTATGACCGATCATATTGGGAGAGGTGTGCAGGCTTTCGATAACACATGGATATTCGATAACCTGTTGCATGTAGCCCATCATCATATCGATAAGGATCCTGATTTGCTGAAAGGATGGTTGCTAGGCCTTACTGAGCTACAGTTTAGGGGAGGAGTGTGTGTAGTGTCGTTATGTGGCACAGTGGAACATCACAGTTTAGGCTATAGTATTATTTTGGCTGCAATTTTAAGTTTTTATTTCACATTTGTTCATGGTATAGTTCATAGGATATGAGCTCCGCTTCGGAAGGTACGTGGATTGAGAGGTCGGAAAATGGATTGCCTGTGGATTGCCAGCACTTCTTTAATCTTGGCATCAACCCCACTACAGGTCGCCTGAGGAGAATACCGTCAATTAACTCCCGGTTATAGCCTGTTTGAAGAAGATATAGCTGATTCTCTCTGTGGATGGAAACCGTTCATTCTTCTACTAATGCTGGTCATGTGTACGCTGCAGAACGTCTGTGCACAGCCATAAACAGGCAAAAAAGTTATAATGACAGAAACAGATGTGGAATTTCTACAACGGAAGAATTCGTTTCCAAACGAAAAATAATGTATTTATTTAGGACGTTTTGTCTCTCTCAAGTTTGTTGTTAGTCGTGCTATAACGAATCAAAAAGCATCCTAACTCCCCAGATGAAGGTGTCATACAACATCCACATGCACATATAGCAAATAATACAATGAGATATCAATGAATAAAGTGTAATTGTAGGTCGCCAAAGCACTGCTCCGTAACGCCCATACTGTAATTATTATGCACAAGACACCTCTCCATAGACTCGCCTGCGTCTTTCTTATAAAAAATACATTTTTGGCATCAGTACAGTCTTTTCTCTTCACTGCAGACACGTTGCAGCTTTGAGCAGAACTACCCAATCCCATCCCTGCTCTTTCCCTTCACTTCCGAACCTCTCTCACATGCCTTCACATTATCCAAGAAATGCATCTGTCTTTTTTTACGACGATGACGATGGAATGCTTTCTCTGAGATAGAAAGCGCCACCTCATCATTTCGAGTTTTGAATCAGGTGTATTTGGGACTAAATTACAGGTGCATTGTACCATTATAAAAACAGAACGTGGCATGATTGGCTTCTCATTTGTTTCTCATAATGATGGAAATTCAGTGAGAAAGGGCTATGCAGGGAAGCTTGCTTTGCGTGAATGCACCCTCCATTTGGATAGGTGGCATTTAGGATAGACTGCTGTACAGTCCAATGCAGTCTACAGGACCAATGGCGAGCCGCCCGGGATTTGTGTCAATGAGATAGATGGCCGTTACGACCAAGTCTTCCATCCTAAAGATAATTTCACTCAGATCAACTGCATGTTGGATAGGCTATATGTCTACAATGATCAATGAAATTCACCGTAGTTGTGTGATTTTTTTACGTGCGTAAAATACCCTACATTTTGTAAATGTAAGCCTTCTTGCTTTATTTTTGATGATGCAATTTCAGTGTCACTTAAAATATAAACGTAATTAGATGGAAGACTGTATATTTATGTTGAACGTTAAACAACAGACTGAACTGCAATTACGCATTGGTTACTGCAATTACGTATTGGGCACTTTTTTTCTTGATTTGCTTGTATAGGCCTAGACTACTATAAGTGTTTATTTTTTGACAGACCACATAGTCGTGTAAAAGTCATGTCCGACATAAATTGAGGTTATGCTTCCATACTTGGCGGCGTTACTCTTTGTTTAATCTTCCCCCAAACTCTCCAAATCGAATCGCCCCTAAAATTGAAACGTGAACGTGCAGTAAGAATGTCAAGTGAAACCGCAAAAGACAGTGTTTTCTGCTCTCACCACCTGAAATTACTGGAACTCTTCAAGCTGTGTCAGCGCCGTGGACACGTTATAACGCCCTGTAAATTGTGGTTATGGCTAGCGGATGGCCACCAATGTCTCCAGGGGACAATACATTTTTTTGTTGCCTACATTGAAAAAAATACATAAACATGGTCACGCTGAAGGATTAGCTAATGAAGGAGTTGTTACAGGGCTACTATTGACAAGCAAAAGTGTCAGATATCTCAAATTAAAAAGTCAAACTACAAGCCTGTAATTCAAGGCCCTGTCCTTGGCTTAGTTCTCAGTGTATCATAGCATGATGTGGGTAGAGAGAGAGAAAAGCTAGTCCAACAAATGTTTAGAATTCCTTTGCCAGATGAAGACTTGTGTTTACTCAGGAAATAAATGTCTATGGGGTCAGAAGTGGGGCAACATTACCATATGCTCGTAACGATATATGAATGTGTAAAAGCAGTGTGATGGATATCTCCGCTGCTAAAGCTGGTGGCTGCAGCAGCCATATTGCTTTCAACTCAGGAAGGAACGGATAAAGAAAACGAGGAAGGAAAGACATTTAGGCCTATGAGTGTTTGGACATGGACTGTTGATGGTGGAAAGACAGCATGAAGAGAGATGGGAGGCTGCAACGAAAAGGGCTGTAATTTTGATCACTCAGTCAGAGGGCCAGAGCGAGGCAGAGAGAATGCAGAGGCCTCTATGATCTCGCCATTGTCCAGAACCAGCATAAAAAAAGGATCTTCATCTCTTGGCCAACCAAAACACCTCAGTTGGCTTATTAAGAGCTGCACATCTTCACTTAGATATGCAATGCCAGTAATTGAATTGAGATGCCATTGACCCCAACCCTGCATGATTATGTCAGAAACCACAGAGAAGCATGTTAGGTAAAAATTGCATGTTAATGGGGTACAGTAATTGAGTAAAGGGCAGTTTACACATGCATGCCAGTTTACATATGGGCAATTCCACGGTGCAGATGCAAAGTTTGGTAACAGAATGACAGTTTGTTCTGTTTGTGCCGTCATTCTGTTACCGAAGTTTGCATCTGCACTGTTCTTCAAATAAATGTGTTTTTGTAAAAAATGTCTGTGGAAATTGATAGAATTGTCTGTGTGCATAGAGTTGGTTTGTTTAACTTTGCAATCAACTACGTAAACGCAGCCCATGACGAGCCTTGAGCCCTGAACCATGAGGCACAGCCACGTATCCCTCATATTATTCCATCTTGGAGCGTTGTGTAATTCATCTAATCAACAACTACTGGCACTGCTTGTTGAAGGAAAATAGAAGACAGAGACAAGGAGACTGGTTGATGGGCGGGTGTCAGTCTTGAGCAAACAAGTGTTGGGACCCTCCTTGCCCTTTCAAGAGACTGAGGGGATGCCTCTGAAAACACCAGCTTCACTCAGGTTGGTGTTTCACCACAGCTGTTCCCTCTTGGAAAGGGTCCCATCCTCTTTGTGGTAACCGGCAACGTCATAAAAACAGAAAATGAGTAGGAATCTCTGCAAACCTGGAAAGAAGGAGAGGAATGCAAGATGGACCCAATGGCACTGCAGGACCTCAATTATCATGAGTAAATCATGGATGGAAAAGCGTATGCTGCTCATTCATAAAAAATACATGGTTTCTATTCTGTCTGTAGTAATAATAGCATTATTTTGCAGAAACTTGTTATCTTAATCACTTTCTGTACTAGACTCTAGAGAAATGTTCATTTGGAAAGTACATCTAGACTTATTCTGTGTGAGCATAGTTGAAATGCGACATCATATGGACATCTATGGACACTGGATGCAGTAGATAGGTCCTCAAACAGCTTCCAGCCACACACAAATGTACAAACAAAACTAATCTCTCTAAAAATGACTTGAGAAAAATAGAAATTACTGACTTAAAGTTCTCGGAATGAGCCAATTAAAGGCCTCAAACTGTGACTTGATTGGCTCGTAGAAAACCATTGGCTCATTTTGAGAGGAAGTTGTCGCTTACCATAATATTTGGGTCCTCTCGTTTCATTCCAAGTCAATGAAATTGTGACACTCAACATGATTTCTTACAGCTAAGGCCAAGCCACCATGTCTGGAACCAAAGACGAACTGACTTAATCTGAGACAGAAAAATATTTAGTTATGGGTTTTTAACTATCTGGACTACAAATATGAAGACATTTGAGGTTCCATCATACCAATACTGCATACCACTACTGTCTATTCATCTAAGGGTGAAGATAAGTAACATATTATGAACTCGATGAAGCCTGGACATACAACAT